ATTTAGATAAATATTGCAATTTTTATCTTTTATTAAAATAAATTTACTAGGTATGTTTAATGAATTATAGAACAAATTCCCAACACGGAATTAATGAAACTTTATGGGAAAAAACGATACTAGAGATCAATTTCTGTTGACATTTGTGAGTATTGAGAGATTATTAACCAAAGCTTAATCTTGCTTCATTTTGTTGAAATCAACAAGTTCTGAGTGAGTTAAATATAGTTAAAAATTGAGCAACGACTGCCATATTTATTTAAATTTAGGGTTAAATTTGATAAATTGATATACACATAACAAGTTAAAAGCAATATATATATATATATATATATATATATATTTCTATTTTTATTACTACCCAAAAATATTTTGATTGTGGGATGGGGAAATAATATCTTATCCTAACCCGAACAATTTGACCCAAGTGTCTATAAGACCCTTCAATTTTTTTTACCACTCATGGTTGCATCTCATTTTCACAAATAACTAAAGGACAAAAATAAGTTTCAAAAATTCAAAAATTTAAGGTTTAAAATAAAACTTTGTAAAACCATAGAGTATAATCAAAACTTAATCGTCCAAAGTTAATATTTTTAAACTACATATATCGATAAATACTATTGTTTTGAACAACTCGTTGGCCAACTCACTTTCTCTTGGATAGCCATTAACAAAATGTATTTTAAATTAATTTTAAAGATTCGAGGTACACAAATGAAACTTTTGAAAAGAATAAGGACATAATACCTTTAAATTAAAGTTGGTACAAATGGATTGAGATTAGCTTGCTTACTTAATGCTTGTGCTGAGGAGAAAGAGTTTTGATTCGAGGCCGATCCATTTTTTGTTTGCCTTTAAAGTTAAATTGGCTAGGCGGTCAGGTCTGGTAAGATTGTCTGGCTCGAACGGCTCAATCCATGTCTCTCTCTCATGGCCTCATTTTAAATATTTTTTCGTATGGTAATTTTGACGATGTATAATTTACTTAGAAAAGTATTAATCCAATAGAAAATGTTACTATTCTAACCCCTTTTAGACAAGAAGACGATTGAAAAAGAGAGGAGGATAGGCATTTGATAAAAGAGAGAAAAAAAAAGGGCAAAACGAGAAAAGAAGAAGGAGAATTTAATGGTGGAAGTTGAAAGGGATACATTAACCTATTTGACAAGAAAAGGAACATAAATATAGAAAGGGACAGAGGATTCTAAATCTCACCAAATAAAGGCAAAGAAGAGAGAGAGAGAGTTGAGAAATAAATGCAAATATGGCTCAACTGACGCAGGTGTTACATAATATTGTTAACATTAAGAAACTATAGCTGAAGCTAGAGCTAGGGTTTGCCAAAAATATCAAAAACAGTGATGCTATTTTTTCCATTTTCTATATAAATTTTTATCTTTATTTAGCAACTTGGCCTTGGCTTGACATGACACCAATAACTTCATGTTCATACATATATATACACACATATATATATGTATCATATCATGCCCATAAAAAGCTGCATCATGATTTGATTGCATTTCCAGACAACACATCAATAATTAACTTATCCTGTTGGAAATTGGAGTGCTATATATATATATACTCCCAAATGTTTAATTTTGATTTTTACCCTTGGGAGGAATTGGGTGACAAATTTAATATTTTGTTTAAAATTTGAATAGATAGTGAAATTACTATATTTTATATAGCTGAAGCCTGAAATATTTTGTCTTTTGAGATTTATGGTTGGATTGGATATGAGCATTTTGTAGTTGGAATTTGGATTGAACTATTTAAATAGGCAGGTAGTTTTCATGAGGGTGCTGTATTGGGATTTAGCTTTTTATTGTTGATGTATATATTTGTTTAATAATATTACTATTAAGAATACACGTGGTTGGCAAATTAACTCTAACGGATTAAATTTGATTTTTTTAGTACAACAAATGTGAAGATGAGATATTGAACCTCTTATTTTTAGAATTGTATTAAGGACTGAATTATGTTCGTATGGATAACTAAATTTAAAATTAAAAAGAAAGGATAAACTTTGTAAAGGAGATAAAAAGTTTCAAAAATAGAAATTAATGGTTCTAAAAGTTGAAGAACCCAAAAAATTAGGTAAGAGTTGAGGTGAGACCTACAATATATTTAAATTTAAATATTTCATCTTCAATTTTTTTTTCACGATGTCTTGACATTATTATTATTCTAAAGAAAATATAAGCTCTATATTTTAAAAAGCAAATTAAAAAATGTCAATAAAGTGGAATGGATTCTAAAGTTAACTTTGGTTGGAGGAAGATGGAGGACTTTGGGAGGAGGATATGGAATACTTGGAAAAGAAAAGTATCTGATTAGACAAAACACAAGATAGAGTGAATAATAATGGTCTCCAAGTTTTATTCTTGATGGCTCATTAATACCTATTATGGATTTGGATTTCTATTTGATAGCGTTTATGTTTATTGTTTCTAGTTGTCGAGAGATATAATTTATTTGGTAGTTATTCTTGTTTCTCATTAATGTTGAAATTTATATAGAAATTTTAAAAACAACAAATTTAGAGTTTCTTTTTCCTTGTTTTCGTTTTCATTTTTTTTCAAAACATAAATAAAGTACTGTTTTACCATTTTTACTCTTCAAAATGCATAATACATATAAAAAAATAATACCATGAAATTTTTATTATTTGAATTAAAATATTAATTTTTTTTCTTTTAAATTTTAAAGTTTTAGAGAAGAAAATAAGAAAGATTATCAAATATGTCTATGTTTTTTTTTCAATAATAAAAAAAGAAAGAACAAATAATATGGTTCTATTTTTTTTTATTAAAAAAAATATAAAATATAAAATTATGAGAGATGATATAAGAAGTTCTCTCCTTATCCTTCGTAATTCTTTGAATCAATTGTGAAATTCTAAATATCTTATTTAAGACAATATTATATATACACTTTATTATTATTTATTTAGTGTCTTTTCATCTAAAATTTCTTGTACCCATCATCTTTTCATGTAATCTTATCATCCAATAGATCCTAAGATCTCAAACATTATTTTGTTAAAATTAAAAATGAAAAACAGAACAAAGAAGGATTTTAATAAAAACATTGGTATTGGGAAGTCAGTGTTTTGTCTTTCTTATGTTCCTTTCTACATTATTGGCTGTCAACTCTCTTTGTACAAATTCAGCCTTTTCCTCCCTTCAGTTTGAAGGAGTCTTTGGACTACTCTCTCCCTCTCTCTGCCCTTTTCTTTTCACTGTTTACCCGTAGAAATTTTTTAGTGCCTTCTCTTTATAGCAATCCAAGGGATGGATGGAAGAATAAAATTAAGATAAAAAGATATTGAAGATACCCATTTAAGAGCCAAATCTTATCCATTCAATTTGCCTAAAGAACAACCATATTAATTAGGTATGTGATTCAAATATTTTAAGGTAGTTTTATTGGGTAAGAAAATGAAATTAGTATGTGAAAAAAAATTTACTGTTTTCTTATTTGTGTTATTTACCCTTTTTGGCTAAACAAAATATTAATGGTTTGATCATGGACTAGGGTTGGTCAACTTTTTTGTTTTTCTTTTCTCAAATTGTTCACTTTTTGTATAGTCATTTTTATTTTGAAAAATCGTAAATGACGGTATACATAATAATCTTAATATTTTTCATGGTGGTTCTTACAAGTTGTTTTTAAAATAGGGTGTCAGAACATGCCATTTAGATTGCTAATTTTTTGTACAAACAGGTGAAGGCCTCCGTCAATACTTTTAAGTATTGGTCGTCTTGAAACTGTACTCTTCAGGTAGAGTGTTTCACGTTAGTTGGGCCCCTAATATGCGTGGACCAAGATTATGTAATCTTCTTCGCACACTCCATCAGTAGGGACCTAGAGAGTTGTCTTTATTTTTGGTATTCCTTTAGTGGTCTCTGTATTTCACCCGTACCCAAAATTTCACTCTCCTCGCTCACTCAAGTGATCAGATTTTACTCTTGAACATCTTCTACAGTTATTTATGAAACAAATATGGGAGAAGCTTTTTCAGAAAAATATTTTACCAAGTGATAAAAATTGTGACTCTACCAAAATAAAAAATAAACACTATTCTTATTTCATTTTCTTAGAAACCTATGTAGTTACTAAATATAAAAACGACCACTCTTATTTAGGTCTGTTTTCGTCCCTCAACTAAAAAAAAAAAAATCCATTTGGTCCATATATTTATTTTGATATAAACAAATATATGACATATCAACATATTTTATCTTCGAGTACACGCATTAACAAGCTGACATTAAACATGTATGTTAGAGCGACATGATGGATTGAAACAAATACTAGGTGAGTAAATATTAGATAACGAAATAATTAAAAAAGACAAAAAAAAAGCTCTCTTTTTAGCATTTAATGATTCAAAATAGATCTTTTGAAAAAGCTCAACAATCAAAATGGTTATTTCGAAACATGCATCCACGGACCATGATACATCCACACATACATACAAACACCAAGTTATTTTTTTTTTATTTATTATTATTTTTTTATGCACAATATCAAGGTGTCCAATCTTTCAGCTTCGTCACACTTTTATATTGTTCAAGTATTCCATTATTTGACAAAGGAAAAAAGAAATAATAATATCAATATTAATAAATATATAAAAAAAGAACAAGGCATTGTGGATGGAGCAGCCAAGTGGCGTCGCCATCGCCGACGCCGGCGCCGGCTACCCCTTTTGTCTCCTTCCTGCTCTCGTAGGTTTCCTTTTTTGCTCCCTCTTTAATGCTGCAGCTCCACCATCTGCCCCTTAGCCAAAAACAGCCCTTCCTAAAAATTCCCGAAAATTCAAAAAAAGAAAAAAAAGAAAAAAAAAGAAATCCTTATTCTCCACTAATAAATAATAATAATAATAATAATAATAATAATAATAAGAACCAATCAGCTCATATAAAATAACCTTTTTGGCCCCTGTCCTTTGGAAGTTGACTGCTCCATCCCCATAGCTTTTTTTCCCCATAACTTCACTGTTTAATTATTCTCCCACTTTAGGGTTTTGTAATCATTCTCTTTCCTCTCTCTCTCTCTTCTGGTACTGGGTTTTTTTTTCTTTTTTTCTTTTACAATAAATTTTTAATTTTTATTTTTTGATGGAAGAAGAGCAGTACAACCCTCATGGTGATAGCTCTAGGGGGGGAAATTTCTTGTACACATCAGTGCCCGTCCTCGCCACTAATTCTTCTTCTCCTGCGGGCAATTTCGTAATTAGACCCTCCTCTTCTTCAAATGGAGGCTCCAGTAGTAATAATAATAATAATAATAATGCTAATTTTGGGAACCATCCGATGGCCGTGGTTGGCAATCTCTCCGCCGATTGTTTTCAGCCGTCCGATCAAGATTACCGACTTGTGAAAGTGGAGCCTGCTGGTTCTCAGTCCCAACGACAACAAGTTCATGACTTTCATTACCATCTAATGAGAGAGTTCCAAATCGGCGGTGGCGGCGGCCAGCCGCAGAAGGAAAACGACGTCGTCTCTATGAAAGCTAGGATTGTCTCTCACGCTCAATTCTCCAACCTCCTCCAAGCTTTCTTGGATTGTCAAAAGGTTTATTTAACTAATCCCACTAATTTTTAATTAACTATCTCTTGGGTGCCACTGATTTAGGCAAATTTTTCTAAAGGGTAAATTAGAATGAAATTTTTATTAGTTTTAATTTATTTTTATGTAAAATTCCTTCTTTGCTTTGCTTTGGGTGGATATTGTTTTTTTTTTCTTGAGGGAGTGAAAAAATGTACTTTTTTTCAGGTCGGAGCTCCGCCGGAGGTGGCGGCGCAGCTGGCTTCAGTACGCGAGGAATTTGAGGAGCGGCGGCGATCTTCAATGGCGTCCACCGGTGGTTCAAGTGACCCAGAACTGGATCACTTCATGGTGAATCCATCAAATTTTTTCTTTTTTTACTTTTTTTTTTTTGCCCTTTTGGGTATGGGTTTAATTAATTAAAGAGAATTAAGTGAACTAATTTGGAGCAAAAACAGGAAGCTTATTATGGGATGTTGGTGAAGTATAGAGAGGAGCTAACGAGGCCAATTCAAGAAGCAGCAGATTTTATGCACAGAATTGAATCTCAGCTCAATACTCTCTGTAATGGCTCCTTTCAAATCTCACAATCTGGTAATATTTCTTTCTTCATTCAAATATATTCCTTTTTTTTTGGGTTTTTTCTTCTGCAACCAATTTGATATTTTTCATTGACAGAGCTTTTTTGGGGGGTTAATTTTGTTGTGGGCTAGAAGGATTTTTCCCTCATGATTGAAGGGAAGAAAGAGCCAGTGTTTAAAAGAGAAAAAAAAGAGAGAGAGAGAGAGAGAACCCTAATTTCATCATGATTTCAATCTTATGTACTTTTTTTTTTGTGGTTTTGGTGCTCTTTTTATTTTTGTTTGTTTATTTTTTCTCCCTCATATTTCTTATAGAAAATGAATTGTTCTTGATGGTCTAGAAGCTGATTTTTTGTTCTTAGATGTACTTAATGATGCTTATACTCCTAGTTCTTCTTTTAAATATTTTTTTAGCAGAATGATCAGACTAATAAATTATTTTTAAAATGTTTTTTTGAACATTTTTCAAAATAAATTAAAAAGTTTACCCAAATTTTAGATTTTTTTTTTTTGAAAATTTGACTATGATTTCAAAGATTTTTATTTATAATTTTTAGAAGTAGAGTGAGAACTTTATTCTTTGTAATCAGCAAAATTATTTTTAAAAATAGAAGAGGAAAATGCAGCAAATTTGGCTACAATTTCAGACATGAGATCGGCTAAATAAATAATAAATCTGTTTTTTTGTTAAGTATAATAACATGTAGAGCTCACGATCTCTTGGTTAGAACCACGTGTTTCAATCAATTGAACTATGTTTAGGTTGCAGGACAGTCGATTAATAGTAAACAAAATTTCATTAAAAGAAGTTTAATTCCAAATTGAGTGAGCTAATTGGATTAAATTGAAGCCCCCTCGTCTTTGCATTTATTTATTTAGTATTAGTTTTCGCTTATATTTTGTTGTTGTTATTAGATCATTAAAATTAAGAAGGCGGCATAATTGACTTTGTTTCCCTTCAGCTTCTCTTTTTCCATTTCTTAATCATATCTCTATCATCAAATTTTTGAACATAATAATGCTTTTGTTTGTAAAAATTGAATATTGATCACCTAATCATTAGTTTACCTTTTTTAATTTTCTAATTATGCTACTTTCTAATTTGATGAAAATAATTTGGTGTACATTATCATAAAAATGACAATATATTTTTTTGTATTTTTCTTTCTGGAAAAAGATTTAATAGTAGTCAATAAAATACAAGTGATAAACACTTTTCTTTAGGGAACTAGTTAACTAAGTCTACACTTCGTAAAAAACTTGTGTTTTGGTCTTTCATTTTCTAAATACTTTACATGACATCGCTCTATTGATTTGTATGTTCTAAGTAATGTGTTATCAAATCTCAAAACAATTTTTTGAATAGGTCTGATATATTAAACTACCATGACTAAAACCGAATAGGTATGGTTTAGAGTGAAAAATAAGTTTTGAACTTCTTATTTTCTAATTTAGGCTGAATATGTGTTTTATTCTTTAATATTTGAATTTTTTTGTTCAATTTAATCCTTGTTGTTTAAAAAGTTTGAATTTAATTTCCTACGTTTTAATATTTTTCAAATATATAATTTCTATTGACGAATATTAAAATTGAATTGATAATAAAATTACAAGACATCATACTTAGAGAAGAAATTAAATTCCTATTGATGAATATTAAAACTGGATTGATAATAAAATTACAAGGCATCATATTAGAGAAGAAATTAAGTTAAAGAAAGGAAAGTTTCTCATTTCTCTTAATGTTTAAGAACTTTCGATAGTGATTTGTTTGTTTAACTTGAAATTAACTTGTTACATAATTTTTGAGTCATATACTTAATGTGTCATTTATCATTAACCTAACTGTTAATGTTAATTTATTTGACGCAAAATAATAAATTCAAGCTGTCTGTTAAAAACTAAATGCAGGATTAAATAGACCCCGCTCTAAACATATAGGCAACTAAATTTGTAATATTGATCCTATTTTATAACGATTTTATTATCCTGTTTTTAACAATTCCGTTTGCTTTTTCAACATTTTTCCGGTATGCTTTTTCACATTTCTCGAAAACAAATTTAAATTCTAAGCTAAATTTTTAAAATAGAAACAAGTTCTTGGAAATTAAGAATTTGCATGGTAACTATTTTATTTCCCATTTTCTATCTTTGATAATTGAGCTTGTTAAGCCTTTCTATTGGTATGTTTCTTTGTTTGGTCGTAAATAAAACTTAATTTTGTCTTTGAAATTTAACTTTAACATTTAAATATGTCATTACCAGCCAAACAACCTGTTTGTAAAAATGCCTCAGAGAAATCGAAACTAAAAATTTGCATTTTTTTTTTGGGTAACGGTGTGGGCAGGAGGCAGAAAAGTTGGCGCTGGCGGAATCGACTGGGCTGGACCAGAAACAGATAAATAATTGGTTCATAAACCAGAGGAAAAGGCACTGGAAGCCGTCTGAGGAGGTGCAGTTCATGGGGATGGAAGGGTTTTACCATCCCAATGCAGCGTTTTACTTTGATGGCCATTATATGGGAGACGCCCATTATCGTTTGGGTCCATGAGGGGCTTTCAAAACAGGCTCATTTTAGTACCTGTATTCATGGTATGGATTATGGAATATATCTATATATATATTTTTCTTTCCGAGTCCAACAATAGGATTCGAGTTTTCGATATTTTGGTCAAGATCTTTAATAATATATATGTATTAACTAGTTCATTTATGCTTGTGCGGGTGGCGTATTTATACTGTTTTAGTACTTATATATAGGGTATTTAATTTTATGTGTTTGGTCATACTTTCCAACTCCATTCTTTATCTTTTCTTTTGATGTGTAATTTTAACTTGTTTTTCTTTACATTCTTAACCTTTTAAAATTGTTAGTTTCTTACACCTGGTTACGTTTTGGTTTTTATTTTTTGTTTGTTAAAAATTTTGCTTGCTTTTTACCGTTTATTTGATATGTTTTTTTTTTAATAAAAATCTTTCCCAGGGATACATTTAATTTCTTAGCCTAAGTTAAAAAAAAAAAGCTATTAAACAAATACTTTATTCTTTTAGTTTTTAACACTAAAGTTGGTTTAGATGTTGAAATATTTTACAACAACATTAGTGTAGATAGTGTTTGTAAGCTTAAATCTAAAAAATATATAAATTCAAAATTAAAATGGTTATCGAATGAAGTTTTAAGTTTTTTGACATTTTGTTTTAGCTTATCTTATTACTGCATAAAAATCTATTTTAGTCTGTCTTTTTTTTTTTCTTTTTTAACTTCCCATGAAGTCATTTAATAAAAATTCAAATTCGTTTTTTGGAATTTAGAATTTGATCTATTATTAGGTGATTTAAAAAACAAAAAATAAGCTTATAATTGAAGTATTGGGCTTAAATATTTTCTTTAATGAAGCATTACTTATTAGCTAAGGTGTATTTGTTGAATTGGATAATTTAGTCAATAGTTATACCTCTTTTGGCTAGGATTATGGTTTAGTTCGTTAGGATTATTATTTACAAATTTATCTATTTATACAAGGTCGTATCTTCATTTTCAAATGGGAAAATGCATAAATAATTTTGCTCATGATTTTGTTAGATACTTTGAAAAATTAACAAACTAAAATAAATTTTTAAAGACAAGGTTTAGGAGGTGTTAGGGATAAAATCAAGTGCAAAACATGTGACACATGCCCACTAAGATTTGTATGTCGAAGCCTCAATTTAGACACGTGAATATGAGGAGGAAGCAATCTACATGCTAAAAAATAGAGTAGGCTCCGATCGGGGGAAGATTCCTACCAACGAAGAATTTGCTGACAGCTAATGGAATGTCAATTCCACTAACAGAAGATCTTCGACTGTTGGCAAATGGTACATGGCTCTGTAATAATAGAGCTGTTTCCCAATACTTGTCCTATAAAAGACGGAGTCCTACCTTTTTAAAGGAATGCAATCTCTTTGCATTCAACTAAACACGGTTTGACACCAGCTCAAACGAAATACTAACTTAATACTTCTAGAGTTAACACAACCGAACATTTTGCAAGTTGCTTGTACCCCATATTAGAGTCCACCTTGATTGATTACATGTTGACATGTCACCTCAGCCATTGTACATCAATTTGAAACATTCAGATATGCCTAAAAAATTAGATATCAAAATAAAATGAACAGATATGAGAGTTTGAGGGAGTAAAATATAAGGTTTAAACTTTGTCAGATATAATGCTTTTTAATGTCTGGGTCATAGACTTTCAAGTTTACAGAGCAATTGGTTAGTTTGAATGTAAATTACTTATTTGAATTCATAGCTTAATTTTCCACATAGTAATGTAATTTTTGTCATGTACTCTTTCAAAATCCTAGTCAGATTTTCAAAAGGTCCATTATATTTGATAATTATTATATTTTGGGATAGTTTGATAACACTTTTGTTTTGATTTTATGTTTTTAAAAATTATAATTTTTTTCCTAATATATTCTTATATCATTTTTGCAATTACAGCCAAGTTTTTAATTTTTTTCAGTTATTAAAGTTTGGTTAGGATTTTAGAAATATTTTTTTTAAATCAAAAGATAGACAAAAGAAGATACAAGATAATTTATAACATAATTTCTAAAAATAGAGAATAAAAAAATATTGATGGTTAATTTTGTTTTAACAAAATTGATGGTTAAATTAATATCTAAAAGTGACTATAATTTTAAAATGGCAATATTGTCAAATTATTCAAGATTTATGTGAATGTATAATTTTTTTTTATTATTTTTATTTTTTTGAGAAAAATTTATGTGAATGTATATTGATATCATTTTCGAGAAATTTAATATTTATTTTAAAATCTTAAAAATCTCTATATCTTGTATATATAAGCAATTGGAATTAGTAAAATATTTATTCAACTTATATTTGGTCTTAGCTATTTCTGTAATATTAAAAAGAACAAATGACACTTTTCATTTCGGACTCTACTATTTTACTATTTACATTTTTACCCCTTTAATTTTCAAAGCTGTAAAAAGCTGCGCTTGGCCACAAAATGGGCCTTAAATTTGGCCTGCCTCCAAAAAAGATCTGTGGGCCGAGGCCCAGGTACCACGGTGCTCTCATCAAAGTTCAGTCCAAATTTTATCTCCAATAATATAAACTGGTTATTCTTAAATCTTAATCAAACTAGAACAATAGTATAATATTGCTTAAGTTACAAATTTCATCCTAATGATTTGAGTATAGTTTCAAGCTGGTTGCTATGGTTTTAGAAGTTTTAATTTAGTCCTTATAGTTTCAGTTGTATGATTTTACAAGTTTCAATTTGATCTCGTTGTTTTAATTTGAACATTATGGTCTGGTTAAATTTATGTGTTTCCTTTTATTTTTACTTAGCCATAAACTCAATATAGTGAATCCAACATAGTTAACCAAATAGAAACTTCGGTTCATTGCTACATCAAAAGAAGTATCAATATACTAATAACATGGACAATTTGTGAAGTTTGACTAAACAGTAGAAACCAAACTGAAACTTTTAAAATTATAGGATCAAATTGAAACTAAATTCAAACCATAAGGGTTAAAATGAAATTTTCAAAATTTATAGGAACAATTATTGAAACTACCAAATGGACCAAATTTGTAATATTATTTCTTTTATAATAAAATTTGTAATTTCACCTATAATATATCTTCAAACTCTCTTTCATTGCACTATTTATTAATTATTTAACAAGTAAGATAGGCAACTTGAGTTTAGTTTAATAAAACAAATCATTTATATCTCCAGTATTAAAATTATCACCTTCATATTTATAATGTTATATTAGGAGGAAAAAAAACACACATAATAGACCATGAAAATAACTTACAAAAGTATTTATGAAATCACATTCAGTGTATGATGGATAGTTCTAACAGTTAATAAGTTAGGAGTATCGCGACAGGGTTTTTTTTTTTTATTTAAATTTTTCTAACTTTTGGGGGAAAAAGTAATTTGTTTAAAATTTTGAAAGAGCTCATCACTATATCTCCTTTTTTCGAAAAATACATCTCTAACCAAATTTGATTCTCTCCTTGAAATTTTAAGTACAATACGATCTCAAGAGAAAGAGTTATATATTTGTACAAATTACCATATGTGTAACTTTTCTTTTTAAAACAATATTATAAACATTTTTTTAGATCAACGGATATCAAAGTGAGCCTCAACCAATATAATTGATACTTTATTATGAGTTCTAAGATGGAAATTTGAGCATTTAATCAACAAGGGAGGTTATTAATGTCCTCAACCATTGACTTATATTTAGTTGGGCAAAATATAATTTTGGTCTCTGAGGGTTGAGACAGGTGTTTATTTGAGAAGTGGTTATTAATCAACAAGTGTTTATTATGAGCTCTAAGATGGAAATTTGAGCATTTAATCAACAAGGGAGGTTATTGATGTCCTCAACCGTTGACTTATATTTAGTTGGGAAAAATATAATTTTGGTCTCTTGAGGGTTGAAACAGGTGTTTATTTGGTCATTGAAATTTCAAAAGGAACACTTTTTATTCTTAAGATTTGTAGTAGGTGTTTATTTTGTTCATCAAGTTTCAAAATGGACATTTTTGGTCCTCAAGATTTGAGAAGTGGTTCTAAATGGTCTTTTGACCGTTAGTGGTTTTCTCTCTCACTCTCCCTTCTCTTTCTCTCCCATCTCCGACCAGCCGCCAGCATCGGCCAATTGCCTGCTGTAACTGCACTTTCCTTATCGCGCCATCAGTACACTATCACGATCGTCGCGCCATCGCCGTATTTTCTTCTTTGCGGTTGCTGACGAGAGGAGGAGGTCTCCCTATCCCTCGTTACAGATCTGGAATAAAGGAGAGAGGGAGACCTCCGCTCCTTCCCAGTTGCCAATGAGAGGAGGAAGCCTCATTCTCTCCCTCGTTCCATATCTAGAACGAAGGAGGGAAGGAGACCTCCGACCCTTCACAGTTGTCGACTGTAGGAAGAGGTCTTCCTTTCTCTCTCTATTCGTAATCATTAGAGATGGAGAAAATGAGGTGACAATGATGGTGGGTGATGGATTGGCGGTGGTGGTGGTGGCGGCGGCGACAATAATGTTTCTTGGAAATAGGAGAAAAAGAGGAGAGAGAAAGAGTGATCATAAAATCACACAAGGTCAACTAACGGTCAAAGGACCATTTAGAATAATTTCCCAAACATCGAGGACTAAAAATATACCTTTTGAAACTGAGGGACCAAATACCAAACCTCAAGATTAAAATGAAACTTCAAGGATCAAGTAGACACTTGTTTTAAATCTCAGGATAAAAATATATTTTTCCCTATTTAGTTTCTTTGAAGTTAATAAAATGACTTTTTAAAAATATATTTTTTTTATCTATTCAAACCATAATTAGCGCCCACCTAAGATCTGGAATATTAACTGCAAATGGATGGGTCCATACCACCATAGGGGACTATGTCTAACTAAAGAGAGGTTTTTGTTTGAATTTTTTTTTTTTTTTGGAAATGCTTCATTCATTCCAAACTAAATTGTCATTAAGGCTTCCAGATTTTGACTTAACCGCACTAACAAGCCAATGGGGAAAATTACACAACCACAAATAAGGGCTTCCACTAATGAAAGATTCCCTTTGCTAAACAATGGGCAGCTTTGTTAGAATCTCTACCAACATACCTGAAGGAGCAAGACTTGAAGGAACTTGCCAACAACTTCACGTCGCCCACTCAGGATGCTTCTTCCCCTTGCCATTCATCTTCACTGGAACAAAGGTTTATGGCCGTGACCGAATCAGCTTCCACCACCACCTCGCTCATCGCTCAGGTCCTAAACGCTGTGCCAGACGCAATCCCTCCCTGATTGCATGGTAATGCATATTAATATGGTATTTTCTTTAACTCAAGTAAAATTAGGTGGCCACACCTAACCTAACTTTTAAACTATGACCTATACCCCTCTAATTAATTTATATTTATTTGATTCATCGCACTTTACTTTAGATTTTATATCTCAAAATTAACTGACGAGGAGAATAGCAGCTCATGTATTTATAAATCTGGTTAAGTTTTTAGATCTTTTCACTGTAGAATCATCAAAGCTTTAAATTTTAAAGGTGGAAATGTAAGAGAGGATTAAAAAAGTTTCTTTAACTCTTTCCAAAATATAGGTATTATCTTTTGTTCATACACGTCCATGTAGGTGATCCATATACTACAAGAAAAAAAAAAATTTAGATTATGGTGTTTTTGGAAGGCCTCATCAAAATGAGTATTTTGTATAGAGAGTTGATAATGAATTCCATTAATAACCGTTCGTTTTGATTCTTTGGAACAACTCGATGAATTTAGTAGATCTTTTTAGGAGGACCAAATGACTATCGATAAAACTTATCCTGTATAATGGTTGGCTGCACAAGGATTGGTTCTACCTTTCTTTGAGCAAATAGAATGCTATCCCAAGTTATTTTTATAGGTGTTTTTTTTTGCTTGTCTTTTCTCGTGTATTATCTGAAATAGTCAATTTTCTGCTTTTTCCATACCTCTGGTTCAACCTGGCCAAATCATGATAGATTTAATTTTTACCCCTTAAATTAAGGTAAATTAGTCAAATTTAATCTAAATTTTTTTTCTTCTCAAAACTAAAATTCAAAATTATTCATAACACACTAACAAATCACGCATACAAAATACTATAACTAACAAAACAGTCAAAACCATATTGTTAAAAAAATTCCCAAATTCTAATTGCAAAAATACTCCAACCTAGCTACAAAATCAAGCTAATTAATAAGAAAACCCTCAGACTTAGCAACAAAATATCCGGAACCAACTATTAAAAGCATCCCACACAATTAAAAGAATAAATACACCACTAAAAATAGTCAACTAATAATTGCACCCTCTAATCAAGTACAAGATTTAATTTACCAATTCTTATTCAATTTCAAGATTTAATCCCATAAAATTCAAATTCGAACATATGACTTAAAGTCAAAATTAAGGCCGAGCTAAATTGATACACAATATATACATAATATTAATATCAATTATTTTAAAATAATATAGAAATAAAAAAATATTTATTTGTTAATTTAAATATCTTTTACGATTTTTTATTTTTTTAACTGTTACAGAATATTCATATTTTATCAATATTTTATGAAATTTCGGCATTTAAAACGTTAATGTTAACTTGGAAAAGAGTATAATTTGGTTATTGGTTGCAAGAAAAAGATATTTTGGGATGTTGTGCACGATAGATGTATTGCAGTGCGAAAAGCAGTAATAAGGTAAAGGTTTGGATTGGTGTGACTGGAAAGGCGAGAATTGAAATGCCACGTTTTACGCAGAATTCCAAATTCCAAGCTGTACTGGTTTGTGATAACGCCAAAACCAAACCAAACCAAATCCAAAATTCTCAATCTCTCCTTTTTCTAAATTATAATGCCTTTACTCTCCGCCATCAATCCTTATCTTCTTCCGTATTTAAATTCTCCATTGTTGATTCTGCAATTACAATTACAATTTCTCTCCCTTTGAAGGAATCAGAGCAGCCATAGCCACCACCATTATGAACATCATTCTCAGAAGACTCTTCATCTCCCGCTCTTCTCTCCCTTCTTCTTCTTCTCCCTCAAAGGTTTGACCATAAAACCAATCGTTTCATCTTTTTTCCTGTCTTGTAATGGGCGTGGATTGTAATGCATTGTTTATATTTTGTGTGATCTTCAAAGTTTTTGTGAATCATTTGGGTTTTTGGGTTCTTCTTCTCTTCAAAATGTTCCTCATGATAATCTTGATTATTCATTTGCTAAGTTTTTTGTTTTTTGGTTCTCATTTTAGAAAAAGTTGAGTGATATTTTTGATGATCTTGATTTGCTAATTTTCTTTTTCTCTTGAAAGTTTTCGTGGATGAAGAATCTACTTTTTTAATTGAGTAATCTTCAGGAATGATCTTGATCTGCTGTTTTTTTTTCTCTCTCTCTCTCTCTCTCTTAAAAGTGTTCGCGGTGAAGGAGCCATTTCTAGAAAAAGTTGGAGTAAATTTTAGTAATAAAAACAAAATTGTGGAAATAAGTTTTATTTTTTTTATTTGACTTGGATTTTAAAACCATTTTTAAAAAGTTGATAGCAACCCAAACAAATAATAAATAATAAATAGTAGTTAATATAAATAGTAATTGTAAGTTTATTTTTTAAGAGAAAAAATAAAAAAATAAAATGATTATCATTTTGAGTAATTTTCGTACTCTCGATTTGCTATATTAATAATGTAATTATTTTTAATGTTTAATAATTGTGGGGNTAGACGGGGTTAAGTTAAAACTTCCTTATTATGATTTTTTCTCTTTTGTTGAAATCTAAAACTTCCCTATTTTGCCACAATAATCTCTGATAGTATTTTTGAATAATTGAGTTACATTGTAGTAGTTGATTTTCGTTCTTTGTGTTTTTTTTTCCTTTAAGAAGACAAGACTTCATGATGCCCATTCTATAAAACAATCATTTTATTGTAAATGGGGTCGGGCTTTAAAGGAATAAGGAAAGAGATAATTAATTTTATTAGTTTCTCCAACCACTTTAGATATAGARATTTAAAATTAAAAAAAAAATATAAGGTTTTGTTGTAGTTTGAGAACTATTTTTGGTTTTTCTATTTTTTGAAAATTAGAATTGTAAACACAGTTTTCATCTGAGTATTTTTTTTTTGTTTTTCTTATCTAAATTTAAAAATTGTTTCAAAATTTAATTAAGAATTCAAATATATTTTTTTAAAAAGTGAAAGTATACCTAAAGAAAGGGGTGAGTAAACCAACACAATTTTTAAAAAATGAAAAGGTATAAATAAACCTAGCTTATCACAAATATATATATATATTTTTTTGGGAATTTCCAATACGTATGCGGCGGCCAGTATGAACTTATCAACTTTAATCAATTATTTGAACTAAAAAAACAAATTAAATTGGTAATGGGACCTGCATTATTTTCTTATATTAGAAACTTATTGCCTACTTTTCCAAAATAGATAATGGGATAAAGACGAAATATTCAAATTAGTTGAATTAGAGATAAGAACGAAAAGGAAAAACTGTATCTATCATTATCATTTTTATTATTTATTATACGATTTATTATTATTTTATTTTTTTGGTAGTGTTTGAATTTAATACTAATTTTATCCAATTAAACAATATTCATTAATTCAAATAAAACTGGCAAGAACAACTTTTCAACATTATTAATCCCCGAAATTAAATACCGAGCCATTCGGTAACCGGTTGCCAAGAAGACGTCGGACGCCGCGCGTCCGTCGAATGATCTATCGTCCACTCAAAAGATCGCGTTTATTTATTTAATTATTATTTTTAATTTCCTGTCCTTTTTATTATTATTATTATTATTATTTTGGTTTGGAATTCTATTTTATTTTTATTATCTTCAGATTATTCTGGAAATTTTTACGTTCCATAAGCTTCTTCTTTGCCCATACAAAGTACAGACATTTCAGCAGTCAAGGGTTTGTTCTTTTCTATTTGGATTTGTCATCTTTGTTTTATCCTGAAAATTGTAGAACGAAAACGAAAGGGGTGATTGGAGAGTTCAATTTTTGTTAATCAACGAGTAACCCTACCAGGAATTAGAACTAAATACGACTGTGACCAATTTTGGGAATCGAATCTGTGATTGATTTTAAACAAAATAGTGTTGATAATTGCAGTTTGGAGGAAACTGCCATGGCGTCGCGTCTAGGGCAAAATCTTCCTTGCCGGAGCCTTGCGGACCATCTCCTTTCAGGTACTTCAAATTCGATCCATTTAATTAATAGATCCTTGTGATAAAGCTGTTCAAATGCTGAGGATTGAGTTTCTCTGTTTGGCTTCGATTTGATTTCAGTGACGATGAGAGCTGCGATATCGATTGGGATAGTCTTGGATTTGGGTTGATGCCGACCGATTATATGTACGTTATGAAATGCTCTAAAGATGAGAATTTCAAACGGGGTCAGTTGAGCCGTTATGGGAATATTGAGTTGAGCCCTTCTGCTGGAGTTCTAAATTATGGCCAGGTATCTTTCAGTTTCAGTTTCTGATGAATTTTGAATCACGACGTTATGATTTGGTTTGGTACAATTTTTGGGACGGGGTAATCCTTGGCTCGGGATTTCTGTTCCCTGATATCTGCTTCGAACTTAGAATATTTTTCATGTTTCTTTGCTTTGCACTTTATGAAGAGATTGCCGCCGGTAGGCTAAAAGTGATATAGTTTTATTGCTCTTTGGATTCTTATATGTTATAATTTATTTATCTATTACTTCAGCTCATTTAGAATTCATGTAGTTTCTTTCAACTGGGTTGTTCTTTTGACATTGGAAGGATTCTAGATATTTGGTTCTTGCCCAAAATGTAAACTCTGTTCAGTTTTGAACATATGATGAACCGAGACTCRGTATTCAGTTCAGCATGCAGTGTCGTGTTTCCTCTCACTCTGTCTCCGTCTCCATCTCCATCTCCTTAGTCTTTTCTGTTCGCTCTTCATTTTCCCATTTTATGCAAAGAAGATTTCTGTATCTTTGACAAAAGAGTCGGTTTCCATCTATATGATTGACTTGTAAAATCAGAGGGCCTTTTTGCTCAATAGAAATCATTCAAGAGATAAACAACACATATAGAACCAATTTAGTGAAAAGACGGAGTTTAAGGAATGGTGTTGCAAATCTAAACAGGGACTGTTTGAAGGTTTAAAAGCATATAGGAAAGAAAACGGTGGTCTTCTTCTCTTTCGTCCACACCAGAATGCTCTTCGCATGAGGACTGGTGCTGAAAGAATGTGTATGCCATCACCCTCAATCGAACAATTTGTCGATGCTGTGAAGCAAACTGCCATTGCTAACAGGCGTTGGGTAATCCTCCCTCTTTACCTATTTCAGTTACTTGTCTGAGTAAATTATGTTAATGAAAAGTACATGTCATCTTAGGTTTGTTTCCATTCTCATAATTTCGTTTGCAGGTCCCTCCACCGGGGAAAGGATCACTATACATAAGGCCTTTGCTCATTGGAAGTGGTCCTGTTCTCGGCTTGGCACCTGCACCTGAGTTTACTTTTCTAGTATATGCTTCCCCTGTTCGCAACTATTTCAAGGTGGGGATTATTTCATTTAAGCTTGTTTCTCTTCACCTCAAAAAGATAAGTTATATTTTAATCCCCCGATTATCAAAACAGGAAGGTTCGGCACCCTTGAATTTGTATGTTGAGAATGAGTTTGATCGTGCATCTCGTGGTGGAACTGGTGGTGTGAAAACCATTTCAAATTACGCTCCAGTAAGTGATTATTTATCTGCTTTATCTCTGTAAAAATGAATGAATAAACTCGTTGCCCATCAGAGAGCTTGCTTTTAATTCAATCTCGTAATTGACAATGGCTTCAACTTTGGCATTTGAGTAAGTTACGTCAATCAGATATTTCAATGCAAGGATTGTCGCCTTTTTTCATGCAGGTCTTGAAAGCTCTAACCAGAGCGAAAGGCCAAGGATTTTCAGATGTCTTATACCTTGATTCAGTGAATAAGAAAAATCTGGAAGAAGTTTCTTCTTGCAACATTTTTGTTGTTAAGGTATCTTTGCAATAAAAACTACTCTTTTCAATTTCAATGGTTAAACCAACAAGAAATGAAAGCGATGCGGTGAAAGATTTATGAGTTTTTGTAAGAAAATGTATAGACATTTTTATACCGACTGTATGTGAGATTAAGTTATGATTAGAAAAACTTGCATGATAAGTGATCTAATCATGGTATCTGGTCTTCAGTTTGTAGAACTATAAATATTCATTCTATGAATTTGGAAGTTCTTTATTTCATCTAATGTAATTAGTTTCCATTTCTACAGGGCAACGTTATTTCAACTCCTGGTACAAATGGAACAATTCTTCCAGGAGTAACCCGGAAAAGCATCATCGACATTGCTCGTAATCGTGGTTACCAGGTGATTATCTCATTCCAAATCAAGAATCTAGCAAGCCAGGATATTGATTTTCATAAGATCAACCACCTGTCTCTTTTTCCAAAGTGTTCGGTTTTCCAACTGCCATATGCTTATCCTTCGTGCTACTTTTTGGAAACATCAAACTTAGTCAGGTCGAGGAACGTATAATTACTGTGGATGAACTGTTTGACGCACGTGAAGTTTTCTGCACGGGAACTGCGGTCGGTGTGGCCCCTGTTGGCAGCATCACATATATGAATAGAAGGTAACTAACTAACTACTAATACCCTGTCATTACTCCAAATGCAGACCCTTCTATTACAACTAGTGAGCAAAAGAAGATTAAGCTCGAAAATGATTCGATAATTGAATTAGATTTCCAGTACACTCTGTCCAATTAGCACATTAATGGATTCGACCCATATTCTGCAGGATCGAATACCAAACAGGTGCCGAGACAGCGTGCCAGGAACTATATTCAACTCTTGTTGGGATTCAGTCTGGAACCATTGAGGATAAGATGGGCTGGACCGTCGAGATCTCTTGAGTTTTCATCCACCCCATTGACACAAATCGTATATTGATCAGGTTATTATTCTAATGATGAAATTGAAACTTCTTTTATATATAAATTGGTAGCATTTTGGAGAAATGTTTGAAATGATTGATGTTGAATGGTATTTGTGAAGGTCAAAAATTAGAAAACTATTGGAAGAGATCATCACAATGTAGTTGGATGGATAAAAGAAAAATGTAAAAATATTTTAAATTTATATTCATTAATTATWATGAGACTTGGGGATTTTCAAATCTACATTCAACGATTGCTACGTCCAAGGAGACAATTCATTGAATTTTGTGAACTTTAATAATTATGAAGGAACTGCTTTTTCATTAACTACAAGGTGGGCGAGTTATGGACCAATGCTTCACGTTGTGGACTTTTATGTGRTGATAGACAAAGACCTTTGTCCTTCATTTTAATTCAACCTTTATGTCTAGCTTTATATATTTATAATAAAATAAAACTGAATATATGCGTAATCAGATATATTTGAAACCAAAACATWCAAAAGGGGAGTTTCTTTAGCAATCAAAATGATAAATTCATTATACCTAAAATATTTGAAAATTTTGGGATCGACATAATGACATGATAAAATCTGAATAAAATCAAGAAAAATGCAGCGTTGTATTTGTTCCTCTTTGTCTTGATTTAAATTATTCCATTAGAGACAAACAAAGTTAAAACTTCAAACAACTATATAAAGAACATTACATCAGAAGTTATGATCTATATCTTGATTAGCATGTAGCATATATTTATTATTGTTGAAAAAAAAAAGAAATAAAAACCTACCAAGCTACATTAAATAAAGAGAAAAATAAAAGTTTAATATTAAAAGAGAAGTTTTAAACTAAGAAGGAATCAATTATATTAGAATTGAGTGGTAGACTAATAAATAGAAGTTTGGTTAATTAGATATTTTAATCATTAAATAATTTAAAATTAAAAAGATTCCCAACCTAAGTATAGTTCAAATGGTTAAAGTACATATGATTGTGAATTTGAATCTATCGACTCCACATGTGGTACGTACAAAATATCAATTTGATTTTTTAATCTTAGCTCACACAAACTTAGCTTCTAACTCGTAAGTCAAACTACCTCTAAAAATTTTAAAAGATCATGCTAAAAGCTAGAATTTTGGGCCTTGCTAATATAATATTACATTGGATAAGTGCTCCCAATCTTCACTTTAGATCTTAAAAATATAGCAAATTTTACTCTACAATTTTCATTTGAAAAGAATATTCTCATAAGAGTCAAATGAGTTAGAAAACATTTATTTGATACGAAATTGATAGACGTTGATATAAACTTAATTAGACCCCACTATACATCTTCTTCTCGGACTTCGAAAAGTTACTTTTGGGACACCACAATAGATTTGAAAAAACATATTTTTTTAAAAAAATATATATATACTTTTTTCTTGCAAAAATTTACTTAAAAAACTAAAACAATATGCCAATCAAAGTTTTGAACTTAGAACACAATTTCTTGGTTATAGTATGAAGTCTTTTGGATGAAACTAGAATTGAAGTGAGGGGTACTTGTGCCCAATATCGACACTATCATAGAATTGTAAAAATATTCGTTATATATATACACACACATACGCATTTCATTTTTTTTAAATATGACTAGTAGAACTTTTTTGTGATACAACATATTTAAAAACATATTGGCGTGGTGGAACTTTTTCAAATTTTTTTTTACTCCTATTAAGAAATTTTTAGTAATTAATTCTCTTTTCATTTTTGTATATTATTGATAGTCTGTCACTAAATTTAAAAATATTAAATTATTTAGGACTAAATTGAAACTTGTTACCTAATGGGATTAAATTTAAACACGTATTTACCCTAAAAAACAAACATGGACAACAAACACCAACAAAATTCAAGAAAAAGTCTCGAGAATATTTATTGCAGTTTCTTTCTTTGACAAAAAAACGTTTTCTCTCCGACTACAAACAATCATATTTAAAAAAAAAAAAAACCTTCCCAAAAAAGATTAAAATAATAACTTTGAAATTGGATACAAAAATTTCAAAAAAAAAAAAAAAACAGGATAACTATGAGTATTTTAAAATAATGAATTAAAAAAAAAAAACACACGCACACATTAAGATTCCTGTCTTCGCTCTGAGGGCAAATCCACAGAGCTACATATATATCGCGTTGAAGTCGAGGATCTTATCGTAGGTGATTTACATGAGGTTCGGGTAATTAAATATAAGCTTGTACTAGGATGGCAAAGAACCAATATTCTATAAAAAGATTTGATGCCGCTCAGTAAATTCTAAATCAATTTGACTTACAAGCATGACAACTAATCTCTATATTTTAATAATCGTATGATATCAGAATAAACAACATGGTAGTAAAAGTAGAAAGAGATTCATTATCGTGTCAAAAAGCGAGGATAGCAAAGCAGTAATTAATAAATTCGTCAATTAACCGTAAACTTGAACTATAGTTTGTTGACCAAAAATAGAGACGTGGTGGTATATAGACCTGGAATTGGGTTCATTGCATTTCCGGTATTTCTTTTTTCTACAATGATTCTTAATTTCTTTTCCATGTAATTAACTTCCAAACTTCTCTTCATAAGCAAAGGCCGTCGACATCAAGTATAATTATTGTATAAATAAATCACTTACATTATCTATTACTTTGTCAAAACGAGTCTGACTAATGGTAATTGACATATATCTTTAATCAAGAGACTGTGAGTTTGATCGTTGTCCCTGCAAATGATGTACTAAAAAAGTAAATAAGTTCAAAATTTACCCCTAGATTATTACTTTTTAATTTTTTTAATGTTAGTTAGGTCAGAGTTTTAAATTATACATTGGTTAAGTAATTCCAATATATTCTAAATTGAGATTGGATGTGAAATTAATAGGCTTTTAGACCAAAACAATACTAGAGTTAGATTCTTATTTATTTATTTTAAATACATCATATCGGAGAAGATGATTGAACTCACAATCTCTTGATTGGAGCTAGATACATGTCAATTATCGCTTAGGTATGTTTGTTTGGCAAAACTGGATTCTTATGGAAATTGTTATAGTTTTGGAAAATGCATTCGAGGATCTACGCGTGGTGCATTTATTTATCTTGATCTTTTCTTTTCTTTTTTGAGAGTGATAGTGAATTTGTGAGGGGTAACATCTAACATAGAGTAAAAATTGCAACATTTAATTTTGTCCAAGTAACTTCATAAAATTTAAAGTATATGGTAAAATAATCAAGTCACCTTTCTAAGCATTTATGGGCAAAAGTAAAATTTTCTCTTTCAATTACTTTGTAACTTGACATGAAAAGATTAATTACCGAAAATATTAAGGTATCTATAAAATATTATACCGTAATCTATTAGCTCAAACTTTTAGGTAGATTCGTGATTTAACATAGTATCAGAGTAAAAGTCTTTTTGTCCAACCACTATATTGAGGGACCATGTTAAAATATCTATTAAATGTTAAATTGACCGTAACTTATTAATTTAAATTTTTGAGTCAATTGGGAGGGGAGTATTCAGGAGAAGTTAACTTTAAGAATCTCTAAGTTTCCTCCCTTTATTTTATGTATATTCCTCACATGTACTTAAAAAAAAGAAAAAATCTAAAAGTGTTTAAGGGTAAAAAAAAAATCTTTAAAAAATATTAGTTAATTTGAGCTACTTTGAGAAGTGCTTTTAAATTATAGCCAAACATATATAATACAGTTTATATAAGAAGTACGATATTTTTAATCATTTTAATAAACTTTTGACACATTGATTTAAAACCCACTTCCAAACATATATCTTTGTTTCAAGTTTTTCATCAGTAAAAAGATCAAACCAAAACTAATTGCGAGAGTTTATAATTAATTTCACAAACAAAAACAGTAAAAAGTGACCAAAATTGATTTGGGAGTGTAAATTGTAATTTGCAATCATCCCTCCTATTATTTCTCCCTAGGATTTCACCTCTTTCTTTGTTTTACCTTTCAAAGAAAATCCCACGTTACTTTGACCTACTTTTCTAGCTGCAGCATTATTCTTATTCTTGACTAATTCTAATAATAAATCAAAGAAAATAAAATACAACACATGATCAATTTGGGTGAAAGTTTACCTACATGGATTTGTTTTGTTTTGTTTTTTCTTTGAATCATAATTAAGAATATTCATACCGGTAAAACACGCATGGATCAGATCTCACCATAATTTTGCAAATGGTGAGATAATGCGAATATTATTGAACCATCGTAGATTGATTCATTGATTATTCAAAGAAATCAAGGTAAATCTAAAGAATTTAGAGGTAATAAATTCAAGTTCGATAAGACGGTTGTTCCGTGAAATTAATTAAGGTACAAATTAACTAAGGACAAAAATGATATTATTTATTTTGGATTTGTAAAATTGTCAAAGTTTACTTTTCAATGGAGAGAGAGCGAGACGTTTATGTGTGGCGGCTGCTTCCATCTTTTGCAAATGAATAAACAGTTTTTGTCAGTTCCACTTTTCCAAATAATTGTGATTATTATTTATGAATTTTTTCAGCTTTTATCTCTGGGTTTGTTTGAACCTCTCGGGCCTGTCTACGTTTTAGGAATTTCAATTATTCTTTTTCTTCTCTCTTATAATTTAAAATTCTCTCTCTAGCAATAGGGGTTTGATTGGATTTATAATAATGCTGTTGCTGATCAATTCAATAATCACTCTAAGGGATATAATTCAAAAGTAAAGAACAAAACAGCAACATTCTATACCCATTTGTAGGGTTAATTTGGGAAGAAGGGATTAAAAAGATAAAAAGAATAATAAGAAAAAGGAGCAAGCCAAGTCAAACCAAATTTGAAAGCTGCTAATTTAATAATGAGTCAAATCATGTCATTTGTGATCCAATAACTGTCATTCGAAAATTGAAAGTTGGATCACACTCATTTCAAAAGATGAGAAATACAACATCAAAAAGGAACATTTTTTAACAGGAAAATTAAAAGAGTAACTTGTGAGAGTGTGTGCAGTGGGTGTGGAGATTAATTCCTCTAGAGAGAGAAATAATTAAGAGAGAGAGAGAGTAAAGTCAATTGATATAATGATAACCTTGATCAATCAACTGAAGCATGCACATATATATTCTTGGCTTCTTAAAGCTAAATTCTAAAGTTTTTCAATTACTTAAAATTAATTAGGTCTAAACGCATAAACATGAAAGGAACAGATTGATTCTGGAAATAATTGGAACAATTGAATAATCCCCATAAGTGAGCTTTAAAAAAGAGGCTTAATATTAGGACTGTGGAATCTAATCATGGATCAAATGCGATTGATTTACGTTCCGACCATGAGATAATTAGACGGTGTAAGAAATACGTCACATCTACAACATAACCCAAATGAGAGAATTTCCTTCTTTCATGAGACATCTAACGACTTGTTTATACATTTGGTGAAGAATTAGAGAGTATTTGAGGTTAGAGAAAGTAGCCAACAATATATGGTAGAAAAACGAGGAGGGAAAATTTCTACAAAGATTAGACATGTTTGAGAGTGTGTGCAAGACTTCTCTTATTCCACCGTGTGAAATTATAAGATAAGACATTTCCTTTCGTTTTTTATTATTCGATTTATCGTATCTATAGAAAGAAACTTTACCCGTAGAATTTTCAAATTCTCACCCACCCTCTTAAGATTAACAACCTTTTTAGTGTATTAAAATAATGGATACAAGATATTACTTGATTATATATGACAATGGATTAGTGATTAATGAATTGAAATTCTTGGGTTTTGAAAGGTCATTGAATGGAGTGTCTTGTTGGTCATTTGGTGACCTACCAAGATGGAAAAACAAGCTAACAAATTTCCACACAATTTCAATACCAATGGTAGTGTAGTGAGACTTTAAATCATATATCCATATTTCTAAGCCTTCTAGAACCCTACAGCTATTACTTAGCTAGCTAGGGCCTAATTTGGTCCTTAATTTAGATGTTACCATCACTGTTTGACTTTTTGTTTTCCTTCTCTAAATAAATTTTCTTTTTTAATCTTTCATCCTAGGGTTTCTGTTACTTGGCTTGGGTTTTTCTCTTTCTTCATTAAAGCTCATCAAAGAAAAAGTAAGGAGGAAAAGAAAAAAAATACTCTCATTGCAATTATGGAATGTTTTAATACACAAACCCCTTCATTATTTTTGCATCTAAATTAAATTGTCTGTAGACATCACATGTGTTCTTTTCCAAACACATGGATTTCTTTTCTTTTCTTTTTTTTTTTCATCTCTTTTCTAATGAAATATTAGGAATTTAATTAGAATTGAAAAAAGATTATTAACTTATCAATGTCGTGCCAACCTGAGTATGTTGTTCAATTTGGAGGTTTCCTCCCACTATACTAAAAAAATGTAAAATAATGTGTATTTAGACTTAAAAGTAAGTAAAATTATGATATTGTAGAGAGATACGTAATTATGAATCCTGAAATATTATGGACCAATGTGAGCATCGGGTCAGCAATAAAAACATCTATCCATTCTCTTGAGTTTGGAGGTTAAATTCCAACATTCCATATTTATTGTACTAAATAGAATCGTGAGATATCATTGAAGTGGTAAATAGGACAGAGCTGGAAATTTTTTTAGAGAGTTGAACATATTATATCTATATATATATATAATCTTTTAATTACAAAATTTCAGGAGATCAAAAGATTAGAGCAAAACTACACAATTAAAAGTATTTCACACATAATTTTTTCCTCGCAAAACAATACACATTTTATAGAAATAAAGAGATTTAAAATGATTTAAATGAAGGTCCTAAAATCAACAAATAATTTTTTGAATTAGCTCGATAACTTCCAACTTCCAAGTTCTTCCTCCACACCATAAAACAAATATCCAGCAAATCATTATATACGGCAGAAGATGAACTCAAAAAAGCAATTCCGATTTGATTTTGAAACCCTGTAAAAAGCAAGAAAAAAACTTAATTAATGACATTCTTTTGATTGGACGGTTTTGGGTCAAAAAGTGAGGTATTATTATTATTATTATTTATAACATGTGGGATTCTACTTTTCCATATGTCCCAATACACGTATATTAAAAAAATAAACATGGGGAGTTGTCATGCATCTGTGTGTACATAGACAATAGACATACAGTAACTATTATGGTATACTGCTAAAAAGAACAAGAAGAAAAAAAACATCCTTGTTTCCCTATTCTGTCATCCTCTCATTTAATTTTCTATTGCATTATATGCCACACCCTTTAATTTGTTTATATTTATAAGTCAGATGGCTTTTTCAGCAACCCCATGTTTCCCACTTTTCCCAGAATAACCCTCTCTCTCTTTCTCTCTCTCTGTCTCATAATATTCTTGTTTTGGATTATTGAAGAGTTATCAGTGGGCAGCTCTGAGCTGAGAGAAAAAGAAAAAGAAGAAAAAAAGAGACATGGGGAGAGCTCCTTGCTGTGACAAAGCCAATGTTAAGAAAGGGCCATGGTCTCCTGAAGAAGATGCCAAGCTCAAGTCTTATATTGAGCAGCATGGAACTGGTGGGAACTGGATTGCTTTGCCCCAAAAAATTGGTAAAAATCCTATCTTTATGTTCTTCTTCTTCTTCTTCTTCTTCTTGTTGGGGGTTTCTGTTTTGTGGAGTTGATTGGGGATTTGGCCTTTTGTGAATGGAAATTTTTTAGGCCTTAAGAGATGTGGGAAAAGCTGCCGCCTGAGATGGCTAAACTATCTGCGTCCTAACATCAAGCATGGAGGTTTCTCTGAAGAAGAAGATAGAATCATTTGTAGCCTCTATGTTAGTATTGGAAGCAGGTAATTATAATTAGTATTTGTTTTCGTTCAATTCAATTGTGTATTAAACCCCCCAAATCATTTCAGCTTAATTAGGGTTTTTGAGCCTCAAATTGAAAGAGAAATATCACATGGGAAATGTTAAAGTAATATGACTAGAATGATTAAATATACCAAGTTTAAGTTTGTGGTCTGATAGTGAGTCAATAGGTAATTTCATTTCCTCCCCGGTTAATATTAGTCACTCATTAAACCGCYTTCCACATCTCTCTCGATATGAACAATTTCAAAGGGGTTTGTATTACACTAACACATGGAATTGTAATATGAGGCTGTGCAAATGTTTTATGTTATTTATATCAATAATTCATCCTCAAATCAATGAGAGGAGTGACTCATATGTATAATAAATCTTTGTCAGATCCTATAATACATAAATTTGGTAGGACTGAGGGAGGATCAAAATTGAAGCAAAAAGGGAAGAAAGCAAGTGATCTTTTAGTTCATCTTAGATTGAAAAAAATAAGATTACATATTATGAATGTAAAATTTTGTCTCTTTATATGGAAAATGCAGGTGGTCTATAATTGCAGCACAATTGCCGGGAAGGACAGATAATGACATAAAGAACTACTGGAACACGAGGTTGAAGAAGAAGCTATTCGGGAAGCAGCGGAAAGAGCAACAGGCAACTCGAAGGGGAAATGCCCTAAAGCAGCAAATGAAGATCAGATCAGAGAGCAATAACACAACTCATGGGGCTGAGAATAACAGCGCCGTCTTCTCTCTAAACGACGCCCACAACAACATTATTCCTTATTGGCCTCAATTCCCTACAGCACCACACTTCAACACCATTCCCTCTTCTGATCATATGAACCCCAATGAGAATTTAACCAAATTTGGGTTTCAATTTACAGAAGAAACTCTGTATAACCCTAATGGGTATGGTAATTTTTTGCCAATTATTGAAGGGCAAGGACAAAGCAGCAGCCAAATGGGGGACCAGCTTGAGAATTACAACAACAATAATATGGGGTTCGATGATCCGAGGAGGGTTTTGTGTAGTGGACTAGAATTTCTGTATGGGGATCAGATTCATGGCTGCGAAATGGGGTCTCTGATTTCTTCTTCTTGTCCTTCGAACTACGAGGCAATGCTCCAAGATTTGTCCACTACTCAAGAATTTAGTGCTAATTTTTCCATGAGTTGAAGGTGTATTAGATGATATATTTGGACAATGATCATGGCGGGGGCAGTGTAAAGTAGCTAGTAATAAAGAAAAAAGAAAAAACACTATCTTTTATTATATTTTTCCTTTTGATTGGAGCAATAAAACATGGATATGTTTGGTTTTGTGTTGATTTGAAACTGATTAATATAATCTTTAGCTTTGTTTGCAATTAATCTAAAAAGGAGCAAATAATATTATTATATGTAGCAATGCAATCGGTTTGATTTTCTAGAGCATCTGGTATGAGCGTATAACAACCATACCTTCTTGGATGTCTCTATCTCTGGGATGATTCTATTATCTTAGCCTCATCTTGATCTTCCAAATGTTTTTTTTTTATTTTGTAATATTATTATATGTAGCAATTGGGTATAAATTTAAAGACCCACCTTTTGGTGAAGGATTGATGTAAGTAATTAATATATTTATCTTAAAAGAATTAGTGATTATATGAAATTCTAAAAAGGGGAAGGGAGCTAGGTAGTACCATTAATTAGAGTCAGAAAGGTTTTCAAAACATATAATAATTAATCTCTCAGCTTCCAAAAGTATTTGAAAAAGTTAGGGTTCTTCCTTTTTTCTTCTTTTTTTTTCATGTGTAATTTTTTCATGAGGATTACAGCTAGATATTTTAGATGGGTGTTGCTAGAACTTCATTGGGATCTGCAATTTGACCTCAAGCTTACTTTTTTCCTACGTATGAAATCTCTCGAAATTAGGGCATTTTTACCTAATTTTGCTGCTTTAGACTTTAGCAAACATAAATGCCCTAACTTTTTCATTTGTGTGTAATGTTGAAACTTGCTCATATTTGGCCTTTTTTTTTTTTTTTCTTTTTTGACAAGTGGGAAAGTGTTAGAAAGCTGGACTGTTTTGGGTTAGGGTTTTCCTAGTTTGGGACTAAAAAAAGAGTTGAATTTTCCATGTCCTTTTGTAGAGTTAATTAAGTCAAGATGATAATGGATTACCCTAAAGAGTCTAATTTTGAGATTAAAAAATGAAACCCTAAATTTGGTATATGGTTTTTGTATTGCATGAGATCCTTGTTAAAGTTGACTATATATGATTTTATGGTCCCTCAAATGGTATCCAAGGGAGATGATGCATGTTATATAAATATTAAAGTTAAACACATTATACAGTATATAGTGCAATTTGGTTCACTAATACTTTGGTACTAAAAGCAAATGTATTGGACAAGAGATTGATTACATTTAGTTATACTATAGATATATATAACATAAGTTCACACCTTCTAATTATTTAGACAAGTCTTTGTTGATGAGCTTTTGAACCCATAAAAAAACTGAGGAATTGTGAAACTCAACAATATAATTAAATAGAAAAATGCAACTTCTTGCACTACAAATTCAAAGATTATACTTTTCATGAAATCAGCTATGGAATTTTAGTTTATGTGATATTGACACATGAACTAACTACCCGATAGATCATCATATATATATTTACTTTTATATTTCTTTAAAGTTAAACAAAACACGTTCAAATAACTCTTTTTTTTCTTTCATTCTCTTGAAGATAGCAAAAGAAGAGAATTCGTTTGTTGTTCCATCCAACTAAATCAACCGAACTCGTGAGTCGTAATTCAAACCCTTAAGATATTAAGAATCGAAAAAGATAAGAAACTATGCTATACAATATTTGATTAGACTTATAAATACATACCCAACACTTCAAAAGAAAATATCTTACTGATCAACACAATCCAAAATTTATTTCTTCTGTTTCTTAATAAACATATCACAGAGAAAAAAGGATTTTAATCCAAAAGAAAAACAACTAAACACATCACATTGTGTGGTTGGTGAAGGAGTTGCAGGTGAAGCCGCCTTATGTTTATGAGTGCACATGTGGTGAGTTAATCTCTTAGGGAAGGTCAAAGGAACTATGTATGCTAATGTACTTACATTTCTCTGACTAAAAGTACCATAATTCATTAGTTGTCTGCTTTTTTTTTAATCAAATAATGTTGTTGTTGTTTCTTTTTTTTTTCTTTTTTTTTTTCCC